TGAGATAGAAACCAAATACTTGTAAACCAACCATTGGTTACACAATTTAACTAGAAGTCGGACAACTTCGGAATGTAAAAGCTGAAATTTATGACCAAGCCCATGCTGATGATGCGTACCACTCCCAGGTCATTGCTCAAGTTAGTATCCTATACTACTAAAGATGCCATAAATATTGGAAGTTTTGTATGTCTTTATAACTGGAGTGTGCCAACCTAGCTAATACGGATGGCAAGAATGAAGGACTTCGACGATATATTTGGAAGGCTATCAATATGTCGAGGAACGTTCGGTCTAAGCTGGCAAACTTCATCGTTCCTTTTATTGTTTTCTACATCCGTCGTGGAAAAAAAGGATACGTGAGTGTATGCAGAAATACACTCGTACGTGCGTAAAAAGACGAAGTGGGCGAGGAAATAGAAAATAAACTCATACACACGTAATAGCGTAAAAAAGGATTTTTACAAAATGTTTTTTCTGTCTTTTTAAGAATGTAAATATTCAAGCATATAGTACAAAGAAAAATTGAGATGATACAAAATGTCAACTAATATTTTACTAGCAATAATCGTTCAAATGTTCTGGAAATCTAACTCTTCTTCCAGAACGCGTCGTTTTAAGTTTATTTTCAGACACATTCGGAGTGTCATCGCTAGTGTTGGTCGTCGGTTGAGGAATTATGAGTGTAGGAGTCGTGTTGTGCGATTGTACTGAAGGAAAGTGGACGTGAATAGGATTTCCTTCTAAATACACTGCCTTTAAGCGATCGATGCTGATGCTATCATTTGTTCCGTTCTTATCGACCATATAGTACTTAAATTCGTGTTGAAGAACTTTGAAATATCCTCCGTATGCTGATTCGAACGGTCGTCGATGCGAGTCTTGACGTACGAAGACGTGTGTACTATATCAGATTCAAACTGACGTCCGCGGTCTGTAGTGATGTTTGAAGGGCAACCGAAGTTTGCTACCCATCGTTCGACGAAGGTGCGGGCCACTGTTTCAGCAGTGACGTCCTTGATAGGTACTGCTTCTGGCCATCGAGTGAAACGGTCTACGCAGGTTAAGAGGTAAGAGTATCCATTTGAATCTGGTAAAGGTCCTACCAAATCCAGATGAACATGGTCGAAACGAGCATCGGGAGTTTTAAACGAGCCTAAGGGACATTTATTGTGTCTGATAACCTTAGATTTTTGGCAGCTTACACAGGAGCGTGCCCACTCCCTCACGTCTTTATTCATGCCAGGCCAGCAAAACCGTTTTGCTATAAGCTTGATGGTTGCACGAACACCTGGATGAGAAAGTTTGTGCAATGTATTGAAGACATTGCGTCGATAATGTTTCGGCACGATTGGGCGATCCCTACCTGTAGATGTGTCACAAAGTAAGGTTTCCTTACCTGTTCCCATCTGTTTGATGCGTAGTTTAAGGGTTGTGGACGATAACTCGTGCTGAAGATCAGTGTCTTCTTTTTGAAGCTCGGCGAGTTTAAGAAGGTCGATTCCTTGGAAACTGTTCAAGGAAGTTATGCGAGATAAGGCGTCTGCAACTACATTGTTTGCTCCAGAGATGTGTTGAATATCTGAAGTAAACTGCGAAATGTAGTCCAGTTGTCGAGACTCACGGGGAGAGTACTTGTCAGAAGGAGAGCTTAACGAGAAAGTGAGCGGTTTATGGTCCGTGAAAAGAGTGAATTCACGGCCTTCGATATAGTGTTGGAAATGCCGTACAGCACAATACATAGCTAGGAGTTCCCTACCGAATGTGCTGTACCTCGATTCGGTGTCTAGCAACCTTCTAGAGAAAAATGCCAAGGGTTGCCAGGAGTTGTTAACCCATTGTTGTAAGACTCCTCCGATTGCCGAGTCGGATGCGTCTACTGCGATACTAATGGGTGCTTCGGTGTCCTGATGTGCGAGCATTGTTGCTTTAGCGATCAGTTCCTTAACTGTGGAGAATGCTTTTCGTGCGGTTTCGTCCAAATTGATGGATTTCGCATTTCCACGAAATTGGTCGGTTAGTGGTTTCATAAGTGACACGCAGTTCGGTATGAATCGTCTATAGAAACTTACAAGGCCGTTAAACGTTCGTAGTTGCTTGATCGTGGTCGGTTCTGGGTAATCCAGAATGGCCGCCACTTTGGTTCTAAGGGGTCGGATACCTTGAGCATCGATAGTGTCCCAGAAAGTCTAATGAGTCGGTTCCGAATTGGCATTTCTGAACGTTTACAGTAATGCCATGTTTTTGTAATCGTTCGAAAACAAGGTCCAGATGCTTGAGATGTGTTTCTCTGTCCGGACTTGCGATTAGACAGTCGTCAACATACGCGTGTACGAAGTTGAGACCTCGAAAAACGTCGTCTATGAATCTTTGGAATGTTTGAGCAGCGTTCCTTAGACCGAAAGGCATTCGCAAAAATTCATAGAGTCCGAAGGGAGTTATGATAGCGGTTTTCGGTATGTCGTCAGTAGCCATAGGGATTTGGTTATACGCTTTAACCAAGTCGATTTTCGAAAAGACAGTTGTACCTTTCAAGGTAGCTGTCAAATCGTGAATGTGAGGCAACGGGTAACGATCGGGAATGGTTTTCGCGTTCAATCGCCGATAGTCGCCAGTTGGACGCCAATCGTTGCTGTCCTTTTTAGGGACCATGTGCAACGGAGATGCATATGGGCTACTTGACGGTCGTATGATTCCTAAGTCCATCATGTGATCGAATTCGTTTTTCGCTAACCTTAGCTTTTCAGGAGCTAGTCGTCGTGCTTTAAGAATACAGGTGGTCCTGTAGTCGTGATGTGATGTGTAACATTGCTGGTTACACACGGTAGTTTCGGTTGAGTTTGTTGTATCCCAGGGTACTTATCGAGTAGTGGTTGATAGAGTGGGTCTATCATATGCTTAACTGTGACTGGGGATACTACAACCAGTAAAAGAAGTTACGCAAACGGACAAATTAGTGTTTCCGTCTACTAGCCTCCGTTTGCGAGTGTCGATGATCAGATTGTGGTGTTGTAGAAGGTCCATACCAATGATTGGCATAGAAACATCTGCAACAACGAAAATCCAGTGGATGGGTTTGCGTAAACCCACGTTAAGGTAAACGTACCTTTTGCCATACGTAGCGATCGGTTTTCCGTTTGCCGCCTGTAAGTTTAGAGTCGATTCGTGAAGTCGGTCGTTAGGATTTGCTGGGAGAACGCTAACTTCTGCGCCAGTGTCGACGAGGTAGCGAACTCTCGTTGTCACATCTGTGACGTATAACAGACGGCTTGTTCGCCGGCTACGGTTGCCGTTAACGCGTGCCGGCTTGGAAGTTTCCCGAATTGTTTTTCGAATCAGTCGGTTTCGTGTTGGGAAAATTGCAGGGTTTTCTGCAATTTCTGGAAAACTTTCCATACTGGTTATGATACCAGCACCAGTCGGGGTTATCTGTCTCTCGTGGTCTAGAGACAGATCGCTTACGAGAAATGCTTCTACGTGGTGTGCGCGATCTCTTACGGTCGGTACGAAGACTAAGATAACGCGTGAGTGTGTGACATAAGTCGGTTATATCATTCTGAGTCGTTTGAGGCTTTTCTTTGACTGAAAATACCTCGGTAGTAGAAGGTTTCGTAATTTCTAGAATGCGGTCGGCAGATGCAGCTAGCTCGTCTAAGGCGTTGTTCTGGAACGAGACCAGAACTGCTTGCACCTGTTGGGGAAGTTTTGACAAGAAGAGTTGTTTGAATAGACCTTCGTCGAAAGTTCTTGGGCCTATAACCTCTCTCATCCGTTGCAACATGTCTGTCGCAGAACCGTGTTGCAGGTCGATGTTATTGAAGAGTTGATCTAACCTTTGTCGATCGGTTAGGTCTCCTCGTTTAAGAATCGAGCGTTTTAAGATTTCGTAAGGTTCGGAAACATCACTAGTAAACATACTAGGTGTTACGTACCTGTTGAATTCCGCGGTAGTGCCTTGACTACTGCGAGGAATTGTGCACGTGTGTCGATCACGCCGTGCTCGGAGAAGTCGGCTTCTGCGTAGCAAAACCAGGCTTCGATGTTGTCGGGCCAGAAAGGCATCAGTTGAAACGAAGGTGGGGACAAGGTCTTAAGCTTGAGTACTTTAGGTGTCTGTTCAGTCATGATGAAATATGAAGTACGATAATGAACGAGGGGAAAATATATATATATATCCAAGAAAAACACGAAAAAAATCACAATGTTTAAAAAAAATAAAAAATAAGGCAATGATATATAAAAATCCCAAAAAGGAACAGACTCACAGTTGCAATTAGGTGTACCAGTTCACGACGGTCTCACACAGCATTTGGGACTTATTGCTGATGCTATATCTGGATGAACACTTCAACCTTATTTCCTCACCCTAATCAAAATCTTTCACTCCTTATCCTGATTCTTCTCACTATTTCGATCATAATATATAATTGAAAATTCCCAAGACGGCTTTAAGGTCACCCGAAGGTCACTAATGAAGTGTGGTCAAGCATCATAGTAACCTAAAGCTCTACGTTATTTGTTATTTTTCTGGTTTCACTGAGGTTCAGTCACAGTTTCTTAACTTTGTTTTCCTAATGTTTATTTGGCTAGTCTGAAGGTCGTAACAAACCTTTAAAGGGCGTTATTTTGCTTATTCACAAGGTTCTCTGCATATTTCTCGTAATATTCCGGTACATTCATCGAACCATGCACAAAAATCCTAAACGAGCTATTTATATTAAGCTCCTAGGTTGCGCCCATCCCGGAATCAGGGTCACCACAAAACTGATTACAGAATGTTTCGTTTGGCCCAAAATTAACAGAATAAATACAAATAACATCAAAAACCACTTACAAAATAAGTTTTTCATACCTATCTTCACAGACCTGTCATTATTTTACCGTTCAATTTTCTCTCGGACCTTTGTATCCTAGTATTTTTCCCTCGAATAGAATATCTACTTTTCCGTTTATTTACACAGAACTGTTTTGTTGCATTGCTCGCTGTCAATATTATAGAAATGGACGACACGGTAAGTTTTGAGTTTATGTAATTCATTAAATGTTTAGGTTATTTAAATATTTAAAAGCTTTTAAATATGCCTAGGCATATGCTTTTTGCCATTTCCGAACATTAGTTTCTAGATATTTTGTCGGTAAAATGTCCTTTCTAAGGAGTCAATGTTTTTTGTCAAAACTAGAAGTCTCCATAGACAGCTTTTCTTTGTAGCTTATTTCACTGACAATGTAACGTAATGCGACCGACTAGTCGTATTTTGAGTCGCAATTGCAAAGTATATAAGGTTTCACTATGACACTCATGATACAGATACATCAATATTACACTCCGAAGTCCTCGGGTTTTGTGTAGACGAGACTTAAGTCTGGTAATTAGTCCAGTTGTAAGACTTACATTTCACACCAACGTTCATGTGTCAAATTTTAGGACCATAAGTACTTATCAATCACTCGGTAGGCTACAAGTTACTAACGAGAAATGTGCATTCACACAAAAACAGGTAAGTTATATGAAGTAATTAACCGTGAAATGCTAATGCGAAAAAATCATCATGAATATGTGATTGATAGACATGACAAAAACAGAATAATTCACCAAATAGCTTAATATTCGTTATTGTCAGTGTCACGTTACTGATCGTTTGGGCTCGACAGTGCTTTGTTAGTTAATCCTGATAAATTAAAAAATTCCGAATTATTTTGGCTCCGTTAGAGTCAATCTTCTCTTTCTAACTAGTGCAGTGCATTTAAGCATTTGTTCTTAAATTTCTCGAGGTCTTCCAAGGATTTAAAAATATGTATCAAGCATTGTACTCCTTTACCATAACGTACAGTTACTTGAGTTCTTCCATATTTAATGGTTAAATTTACTACATCTAGTTGCGCAAGTAGTGTCACTGTTCGCCTTCTGGAATCTCATTCTTAGCTTCTACCAGTGTCATTCTAGTGTTATTATCACCAAGAAAACGAGTTTTCATCTCAAATTTGTTTAAAATCCGTTTGGTCTCTTTCGACGTTTCTTCATGTTAAGGAGTGGCTAGTGTTTCTTGTTTTTCTTTACACTCCAATTTCATTATCTCAGTTTAGCAAATAAGTTTATTACCAACCTTGTCGTCAATCTTTGAAGTGTGCACTTCATATTTGTTTAGCGTCGTGTATTTTATACCCGGCATTTAGTTTGTTTGTTCCTAACTGTACTTTTGAGTGTCAATAAATAGTACTACTAAGACAAATATTTCCAAAAGCATATCAGGTCCCAATAGAAGATCAAATATTGCATAATTTTTAGATAGCTTTATATTCAATGGTTGTACTTTGGATATTTCTACTCTTTACTTACCCTTATTTCTTATGTCCTGAAATCTTATACCTTTCTGTTTATTTTTTAACACCTGAGCTTTCTTACTGCTACCAATATTGTTATTGCTTCTACTACTCTGGGATTCGTCTTGGTAATTTGATCTTGCTGTTCTAATGGGATATGGGAACTTAAAGCGACACATTTATCAGGTTCTGTGTAGGATATGCGTGCTTGACCAATACTTCTATATTTGATTTTTCTACTTAAATCATCAGGTTGGTCCCGCAGCCTATGTCCTTTTTGATGAACTATACACCAAAGAAAAGGTTTTTCGCTCCATAATTACCAGCAACAAAACTCTAAATATTCGTCTTCTGGGCAGGTATGTGTACTAGTTTATTGGTTTAATTATGTATTGTGCTTGCATACATGTTGAGTTTAGGTTGAGTGAAGCATAAATAAAAAATTACAAAAATAACCGTCTTAAGTACTTTTATGATTCTACTCCTGAACCAGTTATTCCTAGTAACCAAAGTTAAGCATTCAAACTTTCCAACTAAATATATCAAACAGCCTGTGTCAAGATTACAATCAATATCTACGGATTAAAGTGTTAATAATTTTCATCTATACTGACTTGTTCTCGTCTATCAACATGTTTCCAGCTAACTAAAACTTCTCCAACCATAGACTAGTTATTTCAACATGTTCCCTATCTAGTGCTCTAAGGAAATATGTAGGTTATATGTGTAAATCCCTTATCCTGGTAAGTCAGTCGAATTTTTTGCCTAGATTTGGTAGATTATTATCACACTGTAGCATATCTTAAACACTGTCGAATTGCTTGATTGCCGAATGTGCGGACAGGAGTTTGTGTTTCGTAGCTCAGTGTCATAATTATTTAAAAGTTAATATTTGCCTTCTATTTAGAAGTCTTTAGATTGTAGGTACGTTGAACTTTTGAATGAAAGCTTGATTTCTCATTTTGCCACTTTTTTACAAATCCTTTATTTATTTCATATATGGCATATAGATTTTCTGCATTCAAAACTGATAGCAATCTGGTTGAACTGTTGTCCCCATTTCAAGGTGGTGCTATTCCTTGCGTTATCGTCAATGTAAAATATCTAACTGAAAACCAGAAACAATGTTTTTCAAGTCAGACAGCTAATGAACGCTTGATACAATTTATTGGGGAGTTAAGTATATCAGATGATAAAAAACACTATCACCTTACAGCGTTTTCATTTACCTTTATGGATGGTGTGAGTTTGGATTTATACAGAACTGTAACAAAGATAACTCGAAGTTATATTGCCTACTTACCGTCTTTGTGATTTATTTTGAAGCTTTTTTGTGCATATACTGCAGTTATTCCTGTTTTTCCTATGTGGTAATTCAATGATTTGTTGAAACAATGAATAGATTGTGAGTAAAAAATTCTGTCATTTTTCTACATATTTATTTGTGATTGTATTCGGAAATCCTCAGATTGATCATATGATTTTAAGAGTAAATGTAAAATAACGCGAACTGGTTGGTTTTCGAGTACAGATATCTCACTGGAAATTTCTTAAAAAGTTCAATTGTACTAAACAAGATACTTTTGAGTACATATGGATTTACTCTTTATCTTACTTTAGGTCTTGAGTTCCAAAAATACTTTTAACTTTTCATACCAATAACTCATCATTTCTTTTCGAATCATATTATCCATCTAATTTAATCTATCTAATACCACCGACACTACTACTACAGCTGTTTATTTGTCTTGGTAATTTTATGTCGCTGTTATGTAGTGTGACAACTGGAACTACTGCACACTTTGCCAGGTTTCACGTTGATCATGACTGACTGCTTAAAGGAGGTGTTAGTAGCATGCACTTTACGTGGACTTACTAAATTATTGGACCATCAGTATATGTGTAACTAATTTTCTTGATGTTGAGCCGTTGTTAGTCACTTGTGATGTGAGATTCCAGTCTTTCAACCAAAAGACGATTATACCACACAGCAGTTCATTCGGTTGTACTTTATGGTTGCAAAACGCATCCGTTAAGAATATGTGGTATTCGCATGTAAAGGCAAATCGATTGATGGGGCAGTGAATCTTTATTAACCAAGGTAGTTGGGTCATGTGTCACGTATCCCTGAACACCGCCTACCTTGATGCTTGATAATGATGACTAGTGTATGAGTAGACTGGGATAAAAATAGGTGTGGCCAAACTCAGAGGTGTCACCAGTCTGTGAAGTTATTAACAATTGGACTAAGCCATACTAATAGGTGTAGACTACCTGGTTGGTGTCCGCGAAATTATCGTTACTAATGGATGCAGATTTTGGGTAACATGACAGAGTATCGCTCGCAACGGTGGAATTGCATTTACTCCCAGTCTTACTCTAGACCTTCAGTTTCGGGATCTCACATATTTCGTTTTTCCATATCGAGTCTTTTCTTCTACTAATACTGGGACTGCTACTCCGAAATTTTGCCTCACCCTGTTAATGTGGTGTGGCAGTTTCAACCGATATACGCATCAGGTTCTCTGTATACGATGTTGATGAACATTATTGGTTAACATTTTGTGTTTCATGTGTTGATTATAGTTCTATATTAATAAATTTAACTCAATAAGAATACATGATTACTAGGAAACTTTAATTGTAAAATATGTATTATGTTTTCAGTAAAAATAAACTCTGAAGGGAAACCCATCTATTCACTGTACGACTTGTACGTGCCTGTAGAAGTGTTACAGCACTCATAATCCAGTTCACTAATAAAAAAGTATGTCTATGTTTTCAATGCATGTTTTAAAAAAATCAATGGTAATTGTTGCACTAACAGTTCAATCAATAATCTGTTCGTTTGAGGGATGTTTAATAAATACCCGCTAGTTAGAATATATTTAATATCGGCTAATTAACATTGATTATAATTTTTATCAAATATTACTTATTCACACTTAGTTCTTTTCACTGCCTTGATATTTGCCCTTCGATAGTCTGATATAGATCTCCATTGGCTAAGTTGACTAAGACATCTTAAATCGCCTCCTACTTGGGTTCTCTTTGTTCAATAACTTAAGAATAGGTTGGAAAGGTAGTTATGTCCAGACCAACATGTAAAGTAACTGACTGTCGGTCTCAAACAAAACAAGTATAAGTTAAACTATATGATATGGTTAAAAATTAGTCGCACTTGTACAGATGACCATCATTTTTTGCTTTTCAAAAAAAACAAACAAATATAGTGTTTCTAAGTGATCCGCTACTCATTAAAGTAATTTGGTATCATATAACTTTGATATAGATGCTTAAACTTAACCGTAAGATTGGTTAGCTATACGAAAATATTGATACAATGCGGTGTGCTTTCCCTGTTTGAAAAGTACGTACCTTAGCATCAGGCGATAAAAGCTTGTGTACATTTCTTATGCGCCTATGTGAACAAACACTGGGTTAGAACGAATGAGTCCTATTGATTACCGTCTTTAGTTGATTAGTTCATTAAATTGTCTGTCTGTGATAATCGTGATGTTTTCTATTTCATTTCAACAAATCAGTAAAAATTAGTTGTATAAAGTCTTGGTTCGTGTAATACTTATCGTTGTCATACATTTTATAGAAGAGCATTTAAATATATCATGTTTGTTTGTTCTGTCTGTTATTATTAGTTTAGCAAAATAGACTATCTGTTTATGATATGGTTAACCATTTTAAGATTTTAGAGATTTATTATTTAAAATAAATTGCATAAACTTCTGAGTTAAAAATCCACTATTATCTTAAATAAGAACAGTATATTTAAGCGAACGATATCTTTTTTAATCAGATTATCAAGTCTTACTATAGTATGCAGAAATATTTATATGAATATATGGAAAATATTGAGCGATTCAATACAATTTATGAGTCAGTCCTAACAATGAAATATTGTAATAGGTTGGAAATACAAATTGATAGTTAAACGGTAAGTATACTAGTTATATTAGTTAATATCTTAACATAGCAGGTAGAGTGAAACTTGGATAAATAAATATTGGGTGATACACAAATTACTGATGTACGTATTCATAATCATCATTAATTATTAGCACTGCCACCCAAACCTCTTTATAGTCACTAGATCACCCTGATCGGTAACTTTTTTTACTTATCTGTATCTGTGAGGAAAGATTTATATTATCCTCCAGTTGATTCATTATTGTACTTCACTCCTTTCAGTGTTGTGTGTATGATTTTATAATGCGTTATATCATGGTTCTGATTGAATTCTGTCGATCAAGGTGCAATACTATCAATAAGCTAAATCAGTTAGCATGTTGATCTTCTGTTTGATAATGGATGGTTAAAATAGGTTTCGCGTTAATCAGTAGTTGTCAGGCAAGAGATATTGCAATATTAAGGTAAACGATGACCCCCCTTTAGATTCGAAGATATTTTATTTTGTCACCCTGCTATTAAAGAGCTTGCTGGCGGTAAGCGATATACTGTAGGACGGAAATATTTGCGTTTATTCATTATATCATAGTAACCAGAGGTATACCGTGCAACTTTACCAGTAAAATCCAGTTAGTACTAACAGTTGGGCTGGATATTTCTTAATAGTAAATGGCTGTAACTTAGCACTCAGATTTGGTTGGTACTAACCTTTCTAGCTGTAATATGGATCCAAACTATGCTGGTGTCATCAGCTCTCCCTGAATTGCAAAATTACACTTGGATAACGATTACCAACTATCACCAAGTGTTAGTCCATGGTTTTCTTTCAATTATATCCAACAACTTACGTCTGTTACCCCTCATGGCGAAACATAGGCCTCCTACCACCATTCTCTATCCAACTCTGACCTAGACAACCCTTTCCAGTTGTTTTTAGTTGTTATACATCCTTTTGATGTCTGATTCTGGTCCTCGGCGCAGCATGTTCTTTGGTTTTCCTCTGTTCCATTGTTCTTCAGGATTCTAAGTTGGCGCTTGCCTCGTGATGGAGTTTGGTGATTTCTTCAACCTATGTCCTGTCCACTCCCAACGTCTCTTCCTAATTTCCTTTTGAACTTGAATCTGGTTTGTTCTCTCCCAAAGTAGGCTGTTGCTGATGGTTTTCAGTCAAAGGACATTGAGTATCTTGCGTAGACCATTGTTTATAAATACTTGCATCGTTTTGACAATGGTTGTGGTAGTTCTCCAAGTTTCAGCTCTATATAGTCGAAATGTCTTGACGCTCACACTAAAGATTCTGACTTCGATATTAGTTGACAGACAGTTGTTTTGGGTTTCACGTGTTCTTCAAATGTAGGAATGCTGCCCTTGATTTGCAAATCGTTGCCTTTACGTCTGTATCACATTCTCCACGTTCGTCAATGACGCTATCTAGATACGTGAAACTTTCCACCTCACCCAGAGTTTCTCCAGGAAGTGTGACTGGACTGCTGTTCTCTGTGTTGTATTTGAGGATGTTGCTTTTCTCTTGTGTATGTTGGGGCCTACTGATGCGGAGACTGCTGCTACACTGTCTTGACCTGCGTTTTTTTCATGTGTATGAGATAAAAGGGCCTTGTAATCTGCATAATCCAAATCGTCTAGTTGCATGTAAGCTGGTGTGACATCTATATGAAGGTCTGTGTTTACTGCTTCGACGTCTGGTAGATTCAATGAAGGTGGTCTATTTGAGAGTTCCTCAAAGTGTTCCCATGTCTTTCTCTATTCTTGACCGTTTTTTCTGGCTTACCATATTTCCCTAATAGTTTCCTAGTTGTGTGGTATAGTTATTTGATATTTCCTTCACATGCAGCTTAATCCACTGTCGTTGCTAGGTCTTCTGTAGGAACTCGGAAGGATAGGGACACACGTCGTTTCTGCCTGCTCTCCCACTGACTGCAGCCCGGATGAATTGAAAGATGACTTTTACAGAAAGCTTTCCGAACTTCTTCATAAAGCTACCTGCTCAAACACAGTACTCGTAGCAGGTGACTTTAGTGCCAAGGTAGGTAGCTCAAACCAAACGTAAAGGTATTTAGGCGGGTATTTTTTTATTCTGGCTCAGCGAACAGATAATGGTGACCGTCTGCTAAAACTGTGCAGAGACAATCGTTTATTTTCAACAAGCAAAAATTTTAAGCATAAGGAAAGACACCGTCTAACATGGCGAACGCCTGAACCAAACCAATGATGGACTCAAATAGACCATACTGTCACCGTTAGAAAGGCGCAGTGGAAGACTGTCGCTCGTTCTGGAATGCCTGTTTGGACTCCGATCGCGCATTTTGTTTACGCCTCTCTGGACGCAGAGGATGCATGTAACACCAGCTTTACAGACTAATAAAAGAAAC